TACAGCGCGGACGCGAATCGTGCCGCGAGTTCGTGACGTTTAATAAGGGGGAAAGAAATCTCGCCGCCGGCGGAAAATTAATCGGACGCGATGCTAAATGAGAAACAGAATGGAAGATATTTCGTATTTGTAACACTCATATTTGTAATCATCGTGATGAGATCCCAAGGGGCAACCGTGGGATTCCATATGAATTTCCCCATACAGATTCCTATGCTTTTTTTTTTTTTTTTTTTTTNTAACCTCTAGTGTTTGAGATCAATTATAACTAAATTAACAACACGTGCAAACACTCACGCGGTTCCTGGATATTCGCCGGAACGGCCGAGATTATCGCGCAAATAAGATCGCGTCGTAATTTGGGAATGTAAAATATACGACAGTTATCCGATTGCAAATCCATACGCCATAAACGATTCGATTGCTTTCGGCGGGATTCCGATGAAATGCAATATTTCGCGTTACCGCCGAGATTCATTAACACTTTATAATTCGTATGAATTTTATTACGGGTGTTTATCAGGTAACGATTAAAATGGTAAAACGATGAAACGAACGCACGCACATCCTCCCCGGTGTCACTTCTGTTTCATTAACCCGTGTTCAATATTAATGCGCGGAAATATAATAATATCGCGAAATATCGCGGTATTATGGTAATACGTTATTTCGTTTTACGGCTAACCCGGCGCGAGGAAACGCGATAACGATTCGTGCGTCGCGTATGTTTTTCTTTTTCTTTTTTTTAATGCCAATATATACACCCGAGTCCGACTCTCATTTCGCGCGCGAGCTTATTTTAAATGCGTGTATCAGCTAAACAAAATTTAGAAGCGGACAGCTATATTTAGCGGACGCTACGCTAATACGAGCCAATGTCAACATATAACGTAAAGTTTCAGCCCGAGCCGGAGCAATTTTAATAACCGATAAAGCGACCGTAATAATAGAACCGTCGGGCCGGCATCGATGTCTGGTCAGTGGCGGACTTTACTACTGTGCGCACCCGAATTCACCCATCGTATTTATCGTCCTCCGATCGAGATGTGAAATAACCGTCGGATTCAAAGTGACGATTACTTACGTAAAATTACGGTAAGATGGAAATTTATCGGTAATTTGGGTAAAATTCGTTGTTCTTGACAGTTTCATGCACAAATAGGCTGTATTCATATTTTCCGTACTAATGTATAAGATAAAGTAACATTCTTCTGGTATTCTCACTAAATTTATATCTGTGATAATTTTTAAAATGTCTCACAGATGAAAGGAAGACAATTATTTACAATCCTTTGAAGATATTTAAATTCGAAATGTTTTCATTTTCGTTTCTTGATGCTTATATTAAAAATATTCCATTATATACCACTAGTCGCTGAAACAGCAAGGTAATAAATGAAAATGCTGTAATCCTGCAAGGTATGATGTTAAGAAATATAAGTCAAGATTGTGCTATACCTGTCACACTTTTTGTTTTAAAAAAAATCAACCTAGTCGAAAAAATGTTTTCAAGTTTCTCTAGTTACTGCGTATCTAATTTCCTAATGCTAAATATATCAAAGCACAGTATTAAAATATTTTATGAAAAATATGTGTTAAATAAAATATTTTACTCATCCTGAAGGCCAAATGCTCCTTTTAAACTTAACATCAACATTTCCTTATTTCAATAATTTTTCTCTAAATTACCACTTTACCAACTCTACTCAAAATTACTGGATAATTTACCGTAATTTACAGAGTAAGTTACCGTCAAATTGGGTCATTTTCATCTCTATCTGTCCTCTATCCTCCGATGTCGCACGGTAACCAGCCGCGCTGAAATCACCGCACAACCGCTCGGAGGCTCTCGGAAAGCCGTTTCGCTGGGAAAGCAGAAATCCACCGGGGCGAACATTCAACGGTTCTTGCTTCACAAAATATCGTTTGCGTCGCAATAAATCTTCAACTTTTTTCCCCCTTTTTTTTCTAAAATAGAGAAAAACGCTACTTACTTCGTCGGAATAATAGCCGGAGAGTTGTTCCGATTTTCAACAACGGTTTCCTCGCCTCCGCGAAAGCTCCGCGAACTTTTTAGCGGAGGGAGGGGGGGGNGGGGGGGAATTTACGTCAGAATTATGCCTTAACTTTTTCGCGCTTCGACGTGAATTTCGACGCGCTTGATGATACCGCGTGCTCGCCCGTGCGAGCGACGAGGGCGCAATTCGAAAACGAGTTTGTTGATGAAGAGCGCGATATTGTTCCCAGATCCTCTCGCGCAAATATTACCGTGCCTTCTCTCCTTCCCTCTCTCTATCGAAACGATAAATTCTTCACTTGCACGCTTGCATCGCAGAACGCCGGTTCAAAAAAAGAAACAATAAACGATAAGTCGCTTACGTCGCAGGCGCGACTCAACCTACGGCGTTCACTTTGACCGGCGGGAAAAATCAATACGTCAGTCTTATGTAGAATTTATTAGCCGCAACATTGGCGCGGCGAGGGAAAATCCCGCCCCTTCGCCGGAGGTTCATCAACTCGCGATATACGGATCTCCGTAGATCAATCAACCTCTGCGATCCATCCGTCTTGTGTGCGGCTCTTATTTGCACGGGCTCTCGATCATGCCGATCGTCCTCCCTCTCCTCCCCCTCACCTTCCTGAAGATAGAGCCGCGTACCGTACAATAATAAACTCCGCGAGGGAGGGGTATTTCTCCGACGCGTGGAAGGAGGGAAGCGCAGATGGTGCGGCATCGAGGGGCGGCTGAAAGTTTTATCCCCCGAGTCGAGTCGCGCGGATTTTATTTTCCGCGTTTGAACTCGTAAAATCAAAAGCCCTCCGTTATTCCATCGGCCGCGTTAAAATTCACGCGGAAATATCCCGAGCCACGGGCCTTTAATGCGGTCCCAACCGCGATCCATATTTTATTAAACCGCATGACGCGTTGCACGCGCGCAATATGGCTTTCTTTTTTTTTCACTCAAGGTATCACCGCGACGCGTAAATCCAAATCTCCCCACTGCTCGCCGGGAAAACCCGTTTATATCGAGCGCGCGTGCGAATATTCGCGCAAACCGGAAGAACAATCGGTGGTGCGGAAGCGCTCAACCACGTGGCTGTTTGCGTAGCGAGAATTCACGTGGTGTCGGGCGGACAGACTGTTTGTCATTGTGCCGCTTCAAAGGGAAAGTTAAACGATATCTCATTCCCGGAAATCTATCTCTGATATTTCGATGCGACAATCGATACTTTATTCCCGGCGAACTTATCCCTAATTTTCCGATGGCGTTCGATAAGCTCTCTCTTTCTCTTTCTCTTTCTCTCTCTCTCCCCCTCTCTCTCTCTCTCTCTCTCTTTCTCTCTGTACTTTCTATATTGCTACATAATTAATTTCCGCGTCACATCCTTTGATCTCCGACGTTCAGCATGGCAAATTACGCCGTCAATGGCTGGTTTATTGGCTACGAACTTCAATAGAGAATATTTCAGTTACGGGGATTCTACAATACCGGCTTTAGCGTTATTGCGGTTCGTCGATTCCCTATCTCTGGTTCCACGATAAACGAGTTGGGCGGTGTGACCGTGTCACTTAATTGTGAACAAATATCGGCGCCGCAGTTCATTCAGAAATATTTCGAGCGCGAGCGCGTGGCAAGCTCGAATTAGCGGATCTAATCGTTTAATCACCGTCCTTTTTTCCCGCCGGTCGGCCGAAAGAGACCGTGGCAACAATCGCGACGGGCGGACCGATATTAATCGGCTCTCGTCGTCAACGTCGGCCTCCATCCTCCCGTTCGTCTTTTTTCCACCGTCAATCGAGACCGGCGGGAAATAAAATGAAAATTCATTCATCTCCGTTCCGATGCAACACAAAACGCATTCGATCGCCCGATGTTTCCGTCGAGATAAAGTCGGCCACGAGTCAACCGGAGGACTCGCTCGTCGTTCCCTTCGCGAGGACACCGTGTATATGCACGCAACGGCTCGCTCGCTCGCTCGCGCCCGTTGAATAACTTTCCCCGGCTAATCAATCTTCGAGATCGGATCGCGCTTTTCGCTATCTACGCGCGCGATCGACGATCGATACGCGAATCGGCGCTTAATCACAATGACATGGAACGCGGAGGCTCTCGCATTATCCCCGCGCCGGTCGCGCGTTCGTCGAACGGCCGCCATTGGACCGACAATGTAACTGGAAACAGCGGCATATTGCTGCTTAATAGATAGGATTATCGCAGCCGCTTAATCATCCCGCGGCTCTACAACCTAGATGGCCTGTCCGACGCAACGGCCTATTGGCATTTCGATCGAACGTCCCCGCGGAAGCACCTCATCGATCCCGTCCATGTAATATCGGTATCAGGGGTACACGGAGGTCCGCGTATCCTGAGGTCCGTTGAAAAGCCCCCCCCTCTCTCTCTCTCTCTTTATCTCTCTTGTAAGAGTCGCTCGTTACTCGCGAATCTCATTTCCTAGCGATCGCCGGCCGCGCGCGAGGGTGTCATCGATTAACACCAGAAGTACCGAGCGGTCATTTCTGTGTGCTGTGTTCCTATTTTTAAATTAATGAAGGAGAAGGTGGTATCAAGGCCTCCCGTTTTATATTTTGTACGCAATAACCTTGTTAATAATCAAGGCTTGAAATTAAAAACTCAACGATTACATTCGCCAATATGTTGTTCAATCGATTTCCGGCTCGGAGTTACGAAATATTTATTAGTTAGGACGTTATTCGTAAAAATGTGGCCTTCCGCTAAAATAGATTAAAAACATTTGTTCCGTTTGCAGAACAACTCAAACTCTCGGAAGGATATTCCGCGCCGGCGTCACTACGCTACTCGCTGTACGGGAGAACGAGGATCCAGGTGCGAGATTCAGGTGCGAGATCCGTTTCTCGTCATCGATCGCGTTCTTCCACACGGGATCCGTTCTCGTTATCCATCCGGATTAAATGAAAACTCACGATCGCCGGCGATATTTCGCGCCGGGCCGGGGTAGAATGACTCTCAACGACTCACCAGATATTGAGAAACTTCTCCCGAACCTTCCGCTTCATGCTGTCGCTCTTCCGGCGGTACTGCAATCTGCGGCAGGAATCCATATAGATGGGCTCCAGAAGCTGCTTGTAGAAACCTGCGGGAGACAGCGATTTCGAGATTAAGCTCGGAACTTTCAGGCTCCACGGTGAGAGACAGATAGATAAGTGAGGGTGGATAAAGCGAGAAAGAGAGAGAGGCTCGATGAAACCAACGGCCGACCATGAAAGAACGTCGAAGGTAGAACGTCGCAGGACGCCGAAGCAATTTCTCGCCGAGTTTGCCGCCCATTTTACACGGTAACTGGGTTTTTATAAAGAGGGTTTCATACGCTCGCAGAGTGTCGCTTCGTCGTCGTCGTCCGCTTCGCGACGTCCCAGTTTCGCGAGCCTCGACGGATGAGCCATCGCGTCGTCGTCGGCGGGAAAACGGAGTTTATTTTCTCCCGACGCGGGAGAATCGAACGTGCGACAGCGCGAATTACAAGCTCCGGCCGAATTAAGCTGCGACGGTGTATAAATAGACGCAGCGCGGAGCAATTTTAGCCGGGTTAGCCGCGCGGTGACAGTTAACGTAATAGCCGCGGAACTCGCCCCGAGGCTTGCGCGCGCGGACCACCCTCTATATAAGCCCGACTAGAAGTCGAAGATAGGAATAGCTGGAGCGGTTCCTTGCATGGACAAATATTTATTCAGCGGGCGTGCATGCCGCTGTTTATTCGCTCGTATATCCGTCATTCGCGTCAGCTCGGCCGGCCTCGTAAAGTTTTTCACGAAACTTTCATATTTCATCGACGGGACGACTGACCCCTATCCCGCGGAAATCTCCGCGCAAGTTTCGCTCCTTATCCGATCTCGGAGGGCGGAGAGTGAAGTCTCAAAGTGGAAATACTTATCGCACGACCATTCCTGCCCGTTCGGGGATTAATCCTCACGAACGCAGTAACGAATCGCGGGCACATCTTACCCGAAACGCCGGCGAGAAGCTCATTGTTTCTCCGATCTTCTCGTGACACTCCGTGAATCATTCTTTATTATTCTCTCCCTGATTTTTCTCCTGCTTTTCACTCGCTCGATTTCATGTCGTTCGATTTTATATGCATCGCGATATAAATGCGAGCCGTCCGTGTCATTCTCGAGTTTCTCAGCATGAATATCTATCAGGATCACTATATCACCAGCGTTTTCGAGTGAATCTTCAATAAGTAACTCGAATCACATTTAATTCCAGTTCGGAGTCTAGGATTAATCCGACGGAGCGTTTATACATTGAACTGAATCGTGATAACTTTTTCGATCCGTTAATAGGGTTGCCAGGTCGCGCGCGGGTCGATTCAATTTTCAAGCGTTTCCGGATTTTCGGCCGTTGCCGAAAGCGAAGGATTTGCGAGCGATTTAGACTGCATGCGCGGGATAAATAAAGATACCAGCATATTTTCAATTTCGAGTTCGCGTTAAAATATGAAAACACGGTAAATTCTTATTTAGAGTCAAATGAGATGCACCCTCTCTCTCTCTCTCTCTTTCTCTCTCTCTCTCTCTCTCTCGAGTATTTCTTCGTAAATATATATTTGGAAAAAAAATATTTACAAAACAATATGCAAACGAATCTATTTTTGCAATCTCCGAAAATCCGTTATTGCTAATCGAAAAATTATATTTCTATATTAATCCTTTCACACAGCAGATACAGTGAATTTCACAATAAATTTGAAAAATGCAGTTAAGGAGGTTCGCTTACTAAATAATGTATTTCTAGTGGCGCATCAAAGGGACTTTCATAAATTTACTATTTATCAAGCAAAATTACGTCCCTGTACATTTATTTCATTATCCAAATAATAAATATTAATTAATTCAATTAATTTAATTAAATATGAAACGGAGCTGAGGTAAATATATACAGGCTGTTCCAGATCAACACGGACGAAGTTCATGAGAGCGTAGAACAGATTGAGGTGATTTATAATTAAATATTTCGGAAACGATGCGGTAAAGATTATTGAAATGTCTGTTACACATTATTAGTTCGACTAACTTTTGTATTATGTGAATATCGCAGGTTTATCTTATATTTGGTCAAATGCTCGAACCTTCTTAAATAAACATGCGATACGTCTCACGGGAGAAAAGAGATAGCGAGGAAAAAGCGTCTCTAAAAGCGCACGGGGAAGCTCCCGAGATGTTCCACGCTCCGTTCTCGTCTATATTTACCTTCTATTTCATCTCGCTTTGATCGATGCAATTTCATAAAAATTCTTTGTGTCCCGTATTCGGTAGAAACAATCGCACACAATTTCCCGTCCCGTACAGCTAACGGCGACCGACCAACTGCGGATGTGTGTCAATGTATTCCCCGCACGACCTGCCAATTCCGCGCGGAAAGAGTCGCCACGACGATAAATTAATTTTAATAGTCGCGCACAACTCACTGTGTCGCGATAATGGACTGTCGAAAGCCCATTATCATATGTATAATTATCGACGGATAATAACGATGCCACCGGTGTCCCGACGCCGCCGCCGGAACATATCATTCCGTTAATATTCGCCATTTGTGTCAAAAGTAAAATCGATAACATCCCGAAATTCCGCGTCGCTGTATCATTCCATTTACCCCGGCCGCTGTGGGATCTATCCAATTACGAAATTGAATTCGCCACCAAGTCCGTCTATAAATTTCGAGCGTCAAGTCCGTCTATCAATTTCAAGCACAATTACTTAACCGGGCTAATTAGCTCGGCTCGTGAAAATCGCCGTTCGCCGAGTGTCGACGTTCGACGCGATTGGCCAATTGCGTAATTGTCTAGCGTTCGTGTCGTCGAAATCACACGGGGAAAAAGTTTGAGCATCCAGCCGAGAAGATTTATTCCAATTACAGCGTTGTTGACCAATTCTACCGATGCAACTTTTTTCTTTCCGTGCACGTATACCGGAGTTACTTACTGAGCCAGCTCAGCTGGTCGTTGTTCTCGAATTTGCTCTTGAAACTGTCCACTTGGCGTTTCAGCTCTCGCAAAGCGAGGGTGGGTGCGGCGCAGGAGGCTTCTTCGTACTCTCGCAATTGCCGCTCCAGGGCCGCCACACGCCTCTCCAGAGTCCAAAGCACTTCCGCCTCGATCACCCTCGAGGAAGCGGGGTGCGCGCCAACGATCTTCGAAGAAGAAGAAAGATACGACTGTAGTAAACTCGCAAGGAATCGCATGCGGAATTCTGTCGCGCGTATTTATACGGTGACGTAATTTTATACATCGATGCTTCCTTCGTCTGCGTTGCGTCGTTTGCGCTAATTTTGGATGGATCTCTCTTTCGCGAGAAAAAACGACGCGGATTGCGTGATTTTCGTTTCGGAAACACGCCTGCTGCGTCTCATTAGTCTAATGAACGCAGATCGACATCCTCGTAAATATGTAAAGCGGTGTATACAGATGGGGTAATTACTTATGAGCTTAGTTAAGTTAATCCGAACTTTCGCGACTTTCCACAAAGTCACGGGGAACTTATAACGAGTCTTATCGTCAATATTGATCTGCATTAAGTGCGAGAAAGTTAATTATGATAATGCTGCTATGATTACTCAAGATGCGGATTGAGCGCTTTTTGGACTCGGAAAGCGAAAATACATCGCTCCGTTTAAAGCATCCTAATCGTATTCAATTTCTCATGTGATCAATAAACGTTCCTCACATCCCGCAAAAGCAGGTCGCACATAACGGACGAATATGAACGAGAATTTGTGCACTGAATTCACCCGAATAAAAATTTTCTCTTGTAAAATTCTTTCTTGTAAATATTTTCTTACAAACCAAAAACTACTTTTGTACAGACGGGTAATTTCTCACACTCCGAGGGTGTTTTCATCAATTCTGTAGTGCGGATGTAAATACTACATTATTAAAAAAGTTCTTAAAAGCAATAGTGTTTCTAGGAAATTTAAAAATTTTATATTAAAATTTATTATAACCTTGAGACCGAGTAAAATTTGTGTAATAATAATAATAATATTCCTTTACTGGACGTAGTATTTGGATTACAAGATCAAGATCAGTGTTGTTAGTTATAAAATAGTTATAATGTTTCATATTTGCTATGTGGGAATCAAAAAACAAATATGAAATTGAATATGAATTTTAATATTTCTTCGTTTTATGTTATATGATTTGCTGTTTAGTTCTCACATTCAGTTATGACACATTATAACATGTTACAATATATTACAGTTGTTCTAATATTTAATAATACATAGCGTGATTGTTAATAAATGTATGATGCAAGATTTAATGATATAAACCGTTAGTTGAAAACAATAATGAAATATACCAGCGATTGCGATGTGTTTCGCTAATATTCACTCGCTAAATCTCATATCTACTGTAAATCGTTGCAACGCCATTAATGAAAAGTGAATTCAGAATGTGTTTTCTCCTAACTATGCGTTATTCAATCTAACATCACTTTGATCGTTAATTTTCATAACTTGTTTACGTAAAAAATTTTCAGTGAGACCAATTTATTAAATTTAATAAGGATTTTTCCAAGGTAAATTGGATGAGAGGATTCCGAGGAACTTTCCAAAGTAAATAGGATGAGAAGGACGTAAGAACTCCGTCGTTACCTGAAGAACGTAAGGCGTGTCGGGCGTGTTCGGCGGTAGATGAGACGAGATGTTGAACAGCTTGTCTCCCTTGCGAAGCTTCACGATGTCCAGAGGGCCAGCCTCCGCCGCGTTTCTGAAGAGTTCTGCGAACAGAGGGCGGAATAAATTCTCTCCCGTTCCGTCTCTCTCACTCTCACCCGGCCGTTTTGTGTTTACGAAGAGGGAGCTTCGCAACTCGCCGCGAGACCCTCGAATTTTCCACCTCCTCCGTTTACATCGAGGATCCACGAAAGCACGCAACGATAAACCGACTCTTCTCGAGCCGGTTTTTCTGCGGACTATCGACGAGCGTCCGCAATTTCGACGAGTATCGGGCCGCGGCGATGACGTCAGGATACTCCGTGTAAACGGTATTTATGATACCGGTTGCTCGCGATCCTCGCTATTAACTGCCCGCTGTTTACTGCCGTTTAGCCGAAGGTGATATTAACTTTATTAAACGCGACCCTCCCTCATCACTATCTCCCCCTCCGCCCTCCCGCTGACGCACGGAACGCGAGGCTATTTCCCAATTACGTCGGGTCTGCCGTCTCGCGGCCGAGATAAACCGCATACAGCGGTGTTACGCACTGACGTATAAAAAAGAGAAGAGAAAGGTTACCCTCGTGGGCGAGACGCGGTTCGCACGCAGCTCGCCTGTTCGGATGTAACTGCTCGCGCGCTTTTCCCCCGGTGTATCGAGCGTGTAACATTCGAGCGAGAAAGAGAGATATAGAAACTGAGGGAGGGGAGGAGGGGGGGAGGAGGAGAGAGAAAGAGAGAAAGAGGGAACGGTAAACGACGTTTTGTAAGTGCATGTTTTATTCATAATCGAGACGAGAGTCGCCGGGGTCATCCAGGGGGTGAAACGCGCGTATCACTGCGCCCCGGCAATTACGATGGACGACGCAACGCCAGGATGACGGCCGTAAATGTACCCTCATCTCTCTACTCGCTTTCTCTCTCTCTCTCTCTCTCTCTAGCTGTAACCGGCGCACAATACCGTCGAAAAGTTCAGCAACACGAGCGAGCAGGTCGGGCGAACGGTTTCGGGCACCGGGTGCTCCACCACGTGAAACACTGTCCGTGTTCCGCGAAACCAATCTCGGATGGAGAAGTTACGACGATCAGTGAACGGCGGAGAACTACCGGAGGGGCTTATCGTGCGGCCGATGCGACTTGCTTCCACGCGATGTATGTTTCTCCTTCCGGACCGGAGAGCGCTGATCCATCGCTTTAATTTCCGTCATTAGAAACGCGCGAAACGCTTGAACGGAATACGCGCGGATTGCGCGGTGGCAATTGTTAAACGGAAAGTTGACCGAGAGTAAGGGAGCAGGGAGAAGGAGTTTTCCACGTGACGCGTTCTGTTCGTTTCGATCTTTCTCTTTTCCGTTAAGGGGACACCGAATCGATAACGAACTTGACAAGCGTAAAAATAAAAAAAAAAGTATCAAACACGCGAAGCCCGTTAAAAGAGCGTCGCGTTACATATCGGCCCTCCGTGTTTCCCCGGACATTTCATGCGTATCGCGCGGACTTGTATCACGGCGAAGAACAAAACTGGGAGCCCGGGAAAAATTCGGCCTGAATAAGTAATAGGATCTGCGCCGTTTCTGCCTGTCTTATTTCAGCCCTGGCTGCATGCGGTAGCCTGAAATATTGAAGAGCGCAACGCACCGACTTTATTCGGGCTTCAAATTCAAGCAACCATAACGGACAATCGAGCTTCCGTAGCGGCTGAATGAAACATTCCCGAATCTTGTGGATCTTGTCGGTGAACGCAACGAGGGGCCACGGTTTAATCATATAATCTGCAAACGGCAAACAGCGCCGCGATACGCACCGCGCGAGACCGCGAGATCATCTTCACGAGAGAACCGGCAGCGACATTCGTTCGTGATTCCGCGTTACGCGAAAATTACTTGCGTGAACGTACCGACCACTCGATGGAACTATTAACTTGAATAATGTTGCATCGGTGTCTGAAAGAAAGAGAGAGAGAGAGAGAGGGGGGGGGAGGGCGCCGATAAAATTACACTGGGATATAAATATCGATATGACAAATTACCACAGTGTCTTACGCACGAAAGATAAAGAGAGAAAAAGATAGATTGAGAGACAGAGAGTATAAATTACCATAGCTTATCAAAGTACAAAATGATTAGATTACCATAATTTGAATGGCATTATGTCGGGGCGTAACATTATTCAAATTTTCGCAATATGTCTTTCTCAAATTGCCGCACTCTCTCCCTCTCTCCGTTCTCTCCGATCGCCTTGTTCCTTTCGTGTTATGGTTAGAGACGATACCTCCCGGAAAGAGAAGGAACGCTAATGAAAGGGTGGTCGGTCAGCTGGCTGGCTGATCGGTCGGTTAAAAACTGTCGGTGCGCGTGTATAAATCAAAGAAAGAAAAAGCTCGCTTAATTACACTTAGCGCCGCGACTGACGCGCTCGCCGCGATTGATGATCGATGTATCGACGGCGCGTCGGCGCGCTGGCGAGAAAGAGAGAAAAGGAAGAGGCAAAACGGGAGAAAAAGAAATACGATCGGGGGGGGGGGCTGTCCTCCGGCAGTGATAACGTCGATGCAAAAATGCACGTTCTCGTTCTGACACGCTCGCGCGCGAGCGAGTGTTTCCTCGTGAAAAATGGAACGGCGCGTTTGAAAGTTGGCGCGATCATTTATAAAAATGCCCGAATCGCCCTTTTTCAGATCACCCCTCTGACTGACGCGCGCCTCGGGGACGGGGAGGGGAAGTAAAAATATTCCGAGCGTCCTCCCGCTTTACGCTTGCCCCCTTGGGGAGAGGAAAAGGATACGGAAACGGCGCGGGATGCGCGCAACGAAACACGAGAAATCATCGTGTTTCACGATTTATCCGGAATGCCGGGGGAAGGTCCGAGGGGAAGGCAGTTGAAACGGAATACCCGACGGAAGGCCGGGGCGGGGAGCGCGCGCTGTCACGAATCCGTTTCGTTTTATGTGCGAGCTTTACGAGGGCGCGGTCGTTCCTGCCTGGAATTTTACTGTTCGAGCCGAAAGGAGCGAAACGGGGGAAACACGTTCGCCGGGCGCGAAGCGCGTAAACGCCATTAGTTATTATCGTCGGAACTGTCGTCGAAGCGTTCGCAAGCGCGGAAAATACAGATTCAAAGCGACACTCGCTTTCGATTATCGTGACGTTCGCAAACCTACGACGACGACGACACGACGCAATCGATGCGTTTACGCGAATTCATGGAAGTCACAAATAGGGGGATCTTGTGACACCATGAAAATATCGATACTAATATTGAAACAGGTTATCTAATCCAGAATATCGATATAATTAATAATACCAGTATTAGGACAAAAGTATCGATGCCGATGCTGGTATCAAAATTTTTAAGTTAAAACTTGAAATTAAAGGAAATATAAAAATCAGGGAAGTGTATTCGCCTTGCAAGCTACTTTTATAAGGGGGTTTCGTCTACATGTAGTAATTTTACTATAATATCAAGATACTTCTACCTTCTGCACCAGACTTTCTACGGTTTATAATCTAAAAACGTTAAAAAAGATGTGTGAAGGCTCTTGTGATCAATAGTCGAAGTTTGAAGGCTCTTGTAATCAATAGTTCCGCATAGTTGTAAAAATGTTTGGCCGTTTTCTGTTTACATCAACAATCCATAAATAACCGTAAAATTAACGTGACAGAAATCATGAGAAAAGACAGGTTTAAAGCATGAGTTGCATAAGTTACAATATTCACGTAGCAAAAATACATATCTTGAAAATAGACTGAGTAAAAATAAAAAAAAAAAGATATCAAAACAAAGTAGTGCTAATATGGCTACGAATATCGAAGCAATATACTCAACAAACTATAACAAAAATATCGACTCAAAAATACTCAATATTGAGAGAAAAATATCAATACTATTATTATATCGATAGTTCTACAATATTCCTAACTGCGCATGAATTCGAGACGTTAATTGAATCTGTAACCGTCCGCCGCAGCGGTCATGTCATCGGTGAGGGCGGCCCGAGGGTGCAAGCAACATTCACAATACATCGGCAACGTAATAAAATTTTTATATTTATTGTATATAAATATAAATAAAAATAAATAAATAAATCTATATATATTTTTGTGCGCGATTGCCCTGATGGAGAGAACGCAGCCGTATCCAATAGCGCGGCGCGTGTCGATGAGTGCGCTTTGATTTTCGTAATTAGAGCGCGCTCGCGCGATTTTTCAACAAGTTGATCGATGCGACGATCGTTTCCAATTTTTTTTTCCTCCCGGTTTGCATTTGACATTGGACCTTCATGGGCGCGCGCACGCGGTCGTCGCAGTTATTTTCGCGGAGGGGTTGTAATCGCACGAAATGAAATGAAATGGGCTCTTTGTCGAGTTGTATAGCCTGAATATTTGAACCATCGCAAAAGCAAATGTATTTTGTGTCAATAGATATCATTAAAAAAAGAAAAAGAGAAAGGAAAGAGAGAGGGAGAGAGAGGGATGAGGGAATATTGGTTCAATATCATTTCGGCAGCGACCGCAATGATACGCGTCGCTTAAAAGGCTGCCTCCGTCTTTTGGTCTCTTTGGGCGCGTTAATAGCTTTTTATTTGACGTCGATAAAATCGCGATATAATGTGTAACAAAAGGGTTGATTAAATTTCATCGATGCGAAGTCGATTCGCTCGCGATGCCATCCGCTCAATTGCATTCCCGACTGCACACGTAATGCTCACGTCAGTCGGTGATCCGTCCCATCGTAAAAACGCTTCAACACCTCGAACAAGCGCCGGACGACAACATCGCGAGCACACGCACATGTATACACGCTCGCGCGCTTTCCTTTTTTATGGTACTTAAACTTTTACGAACGAACTCCATCGAATTTCGTCCCCGAGTGCCTTATGGCGCCGACCAGACCGGTAGGCTCTCTCTTATTCTTTCCCCGCCGACTTCATCCCCCTGGTTTACGATTTACATGATAATGTATTTCGCATCCGAGGCAGGGATGGGATTTCTCTTCCACGCGCGTCCGCGTATAAACATTCGGACAATTATATTACGTAATTACGTGTCGACCGAAATCAAAC